TGAAAACCAAACAAGGTTAGAAATAGCTATCTCAGTACTCCCTTAATTCTTTGTTAGCATTCCAAATTTTGAAAAACATATATGATGTCGCAGTTAAGCGACTGCTGCCTGTGGATGGCTTTGGATTGAGCTGATGCAGGCAAAAGACTTCTCTCTCTCCCATATTTAGGCTGACAGGGTGTTCAAAAAGCACTCATATGTAAATATATAAATATGTAAATAGTATAAAATGCAATATGTAAATGGTATAAAAGATCAATGAATAGGGAGATATATGGTATATGGTATAGTATGTATGGCAAATAACAGCCAGAAAAGCCACACTGTGTTCAACCTGTTTTTAAATGTTTACTCAATAAAAAAAAAAATTAAAAAATAATTCCTATCACTTTTTCTTCTTCAGCTTTTCTAGCTAGCTCTTTTTCTTTGGTCATTTATTTCTGAAATCAATCCAATTCCATTCAATGTATTCTCACTTCCCACACTTCTCATCACTTTCCTGTTCTGTTACCTTACTAACCTCCCTACCTTTGTTTGCTGCGGCTCTAGGCAAAATGGCATGTCCATTTTGATCAATAACTATGGGATGTGCTCCTGCACAGGCCAACAACTGTTTGTACTGGGAATGAGTCAGCCAGTCTTGAGTTGCATTCAAAACATAAATCACTGCCTTTGTTTTAAGAGGCACCAATTTTCATGAGAAACATTCCTTGTGCTTGCTAGGACAGATCCAAATGTTTTTTCAACACAAGCCATAGCCCAATCATTCTCCCCATACAATCACACTATTCTTTCTCTTCCCAATTGGAGATAAAACTCCCAGTCACAGATCTTAGTGGCAATTTCCTTGCTATATTTTCTTCTTCTTATGCAAGTACAGCTGCTTCTTGAGTCATCTAGAAGGAGAGCTTGCATTTCGATAGGGCTTTTCAAGAAAATAATCCTTATCTCTGAAACCTATCCCTATTTACAGGAAAAAAAAAACCAATTTACAACCCAAAAGACTCTCTCTCTCTCTCTCTCTCTCTCTCTCTCTCTCTCTCTCTCTCTCTCTCNCACACACACACACACACACACACACACACACACACACGGAATGCTCAAATATCTTCCATTCTGATATGAAAAAGGTTTTTTTTTTTCCAAATTGCAATCTGGGGGTTGAATGATGTCTCAAAAATGCACTGAAACATAGGTGCTTGCAAGATGGAATGAGAAATTGTCTCTCTGAAGCCAGAAATTTCTGAAAAGTTGTAAGCAAAAGTGAAATGCAAATTCTAGTCCCACCTTAAGCATGAAAGCTGGCTGGGTGACTTTGGGACAATTAGGAGATGGTAAGTTCTAGTCCCACTTTAGGCATGAAAACCAGCTGGGTGACTTTGGGACAATCACTCTCTCTCAGTCCAACTCACCTTATGGAATTATCGTTGTGGGGAAAATAGGATGAGGAAGAAGTATTAGTTGTGTTTGCCATCTTGAATTACTTATAAAAATAATAAAGGTGGGATTTATCAAATAATAAAGGTGGGAATCTTTTAAAAAATGCAGGAAGTATTAGTATCATCCAGCTAGGATGTACAGTATATGTCTTCGGAATGGCTTTGTTGAATATGAACCAGTATTTGCAGAGACCAATAGTCAGGGATATCCATTAATGTCTACCTTTTTTATCAAACACTTGTACATCTTTAAACATGGTAATCTTATTTTTTTAGGAGTATCCCACTACAAACAGGCTTCTGTACCTGGATAGCTTAGCTTTTTTGTTTCCTTTAAAGGGAAAACACTTCCTATTGCTGTCTCCTTAGGCAATCTTGGTGGGTTTTGATCTCCTAAACATCAAGGAGTTAAGAGCATTCTCTGCCATAACTACTAAATTTCTTGAACATGTATAGATTTAAAATTGTGTGCTCCCATTTCCCAACCCAGTATGTAAATCTGTAGACCAGTGTTTCTCAACTTTGGCAACTTTAAGATACGTTGAAGTCCACATATTTTAAAGCTGCCAAGGTTGAGAAACACTGCTATAGACCAAGATCATGGAACTCATCATGATTTATTTCAGGGAGTGTCTAGGATTGCAGCAACAATGAAAGCTAAAAAAACAAAACATGATTTTTCTAGACTGGATGAGTTGATGAGAAAGTAACCGAAAAAAACTGGTCGAGAAATATAGATGATATGCTGGAGATGTTCATATGCAGGAGATATGGTGTTTCTGACCTAAAAGGCCAAGGTTTTAACTGTTCTTGTTTTGAATATTTCTAGGGTTTAGAGCAGGCAACCATCTCCAGGGGCTTGTCCCTATTCTTTTATCACACTTTAAATCTTCTCTTCATCTCTGCCCACTTGATTTAAAAACTTGATTTTATCAAGGTGACCTTGACAGGCTGTGCCACTTCTCCAAAATATGCTGCCACCTGTTGAGGCTTACCTCTCCAAGGGATGCATCTACCATTGTTTAGGATCGGATTGCCAACTAGCTTTTGATCAGCTGACCACATCTCCAAATCCCATACAGGAGGCAGAACCCAATTGGCTGTTCTGCAAAAACATGTGTTCCAATTGGTCGGCTGAGGCAAAGGTTCCTCCCAATGAGGGCTGCTGAATAGGAATGGCTCCTCTCTGGCTGAGTCAAACAGGTGAGGTGTCGGCTGTGGAGTCTTCATTTTGGATGACAACCAACTTTCCTTGCAAGGACAAGGTGAGGACCAGTCAGAAGCTTCTGAGGCACTCGACAATGGTTTGGTTGCTTGGGGTGAAGCTGGTATCTGATTTGCAACTTTAGAGTCGATGCTGCAGCTGGGATTCTGAGCAACTGTTTGATTGTGTCCAGCTGTTGTGTTGCTAGAGTCTAGCTTTATGCAGGTGCCATCCCCAGGAAAATAGTGATGGTTCAAGCCATCTTGTGAGGCACCCAAATCATCTAGGGAGGAGCCAGAACTGGTCCTTCCTGGGGAGAAAAGGACATGAACTATATTAGGAAACCTTGATCTACCAAGCACTCAAGCTCTGTGGACAATAGACATAATCACTTGACATATAAGATGGTCAATAGTTTCAATAGGAGGGCAACAATAGCCAACTTTGGCTGATCTGGAAGCTACAGCAGAGTCAGCTCTAGTTAGTGAGTGGTGGGGGAGATGACCAGAGAATGACAGGGCAATTGGCTAGAGTAACTAATGATAGTGAATTGTGGCTACCAGATGAGGAGCCCTCAGCACAATATTGTGAGCTATTGCTCCATCCAAATCTTCTGGGATGTAGCAGAGCCTTGGCTGCAAGGCCCCAAAACACCAAAGTCAACTCTGATTGGGAAGCTACAAGACAGCCACAAATCATATTTTTACATTTCTAACAAGCTGCACAGAAATTCGGTGGGTTATTTGTGGCTTCATTTTTAAAGTTCGGCACATAGCTTTAATTAAAAATGTCCTGAAGACATATATTGAAAAGGAGAGAGCAAAAACAAATAACAAAAAGCAGAAAGGATTAAACTAATCCCAGTCAACTGTGAATATTCCCTCGGGTTGCAGGCACGAGCATGTGTTTTTATTATATTATGTAAGCAGTGATCAGTTTTCATCTGGCATCTTGGATGGGCTTGATGTGCAAGTGAGTCTCGGGGTTCAACAAACAAGCAAATGGGAGGTCCATGCAATGATAAGGGCGTAGTGCAGGGGTCTTCAAACTTGGCCCTTTTATGACTTGTGGACTTCAACTCCCAGAATTCCTCAGCCAGCATGCCTGGCTGAGGAATTCTGGGAGTTGAAGTCCACAAGTCATAAAAGGGCCAAGTTTGAAGACCCCTGGTGTAGTGGAACAACAATGCAGCCTCTGTAGCCTTGGCTTGAACATCCAGGTAATCCTTGACTTAAAACCATCCATTTAGTGACCCTTCGAAGTTACAACAGCACTGAAAACTGACTTATGACCAGTCCTTGCACTTATTACGGTAGCAGCATTTCCAGGGTCACGTGATCAAAATTTGAGTGCTTGGCAACTGGAATGTATTTCCAAGAGTTGCAGCATCCCAGGGTCACATGATCACCATTTGCTTCTGACAAGTAAAGTAAATGGGGGAGGATGGATTTGCTTACGATCCACACGATTCATTTAACAACTGACGTGATTCACTTAAGATGCTTGGAAAAGGAAATTCTAGTCCCAATTCTGGTTGTTAAGTCAAGGACTACCTGTACAGGGCTCCATGGCTTAAACGGAGTGTTAATTCATTGGCATTTATTCAACTCTTCATACCTAGGCATGCTGAAAGTAGGCTACTGGCTTCTGTTTGTAAAGCACAGGGACAAACCTATTATGTGGGGAACCCACTAACGAAGGTACCACGTGGCATCCTAGATAGTACTTAAACTACAGATACTCCTCAATGTACAACCACAATTGACTCTAAAATTTATGTTGCTAAGTGAGAAATTTCTTAAGTGAGTTTTGCCCCATTTTACGACCTTTCTTGCCACAGTTAAGTGAATCACTGCAGTTGTTAATTTTGTAACATGGTGTTCTGTCCCAGCCTACGTCTGTCTTTGTTGCGTCACAAAAACAAACCCCTCTTTAACAGTAGGCTGGGAAAACCAACCCCTTTTTATTACAAAAACAGTCCTGATAAGTTTGCTCAAAAACAAAAACAACAGAATACTTTTCCAACAGATAATTGGTTAAAAAATCAGACAGAGCAGGAGTTTAAACAAAACATTCATCCGTAAAACAAACAGACCATGATCCCTGGAAGTTCTTACAAACAGTTGCCAGATTGATGACAGCCTCGATTGGGAACGGTCCTACATATCGGTGGTCTAATTTCTTGGCTGGCCGGGTTGATGGTAGGTTCCTGGTGGACAGCCATACCCGATCTCCCACCGTTAGTGGAGGCGTATCCTGCCTCGACCGATCAGCAAACCTTTTGTAGTCAGCCTTGGCCTTCTCTGTCGCTGCACCAATCGATGGATCACCTGTAACTCTGCCATGTAGTCGTTCGCTGGTGGTCCCGGTGCGTCTAGTGGGGAAAGAGGGAAAAACCAAGGGTGATAGCCCACATTGGCTAAGAATGGTGTCATCTGCGTGGAGGTGTGCTGTGAGTTATTGAACGCAAACTCAGCCACCGCCAGATAGTCCACCCAATTGTTCTGCTGCTGATTGACATAGCAGCGCAGATATTGCTCCAGGATCCTGATGACCTTCTCGGTCCCTCTGTCAGTTTGGGGATGATGTGCGGACGAGAGGCAGATCTTGACATCCAATGCCTGCATCAACCCCTGCCAGAAACGGGCTGTGAACTGGGCCCCTCTATCGGACACGACCCTATCAGGAAGACCATGCAGCCGGAACACCTGCTGGATGAACATGCGACCGGTGGCGTGGGCAGACGGCAAGCCACGGCATGGGATGAAATGCGCCATCTTGGTCAGCATGTCCACCACCACGAACACCATCGTGAATCCAGAAGATGGGGGTAAGTCCATCAGGAAGTCCATGGACACAGCCCCCCAGGGTCTTTTGGGTGTTGGCAAGGGCTGCAGTAGTCCGGGTGGGGCCCCTGTCGCTGACGTGGCCTGCCTACATGGGATACAAGATGAGACGTAGGTCTGGACGTTGTGTCAGACTCGGGGCCACCAGAAGGTACGGGAAACCAAGTTCAGGGTCTTGAACAGGCCAAAATGCCCCGCCGCCAGATTGTCGTGACACTGGCTGAGGATGAGTCCCCTGAGCGGCCCTCCAGGAACATAGAGCCGATCACGATAGTGGAGGAATCCATCCGTGACTGTCCATGGGGAATTGGGCCCCACCTCCTCCTTTCGCTGAGCCACCCACCCATCCTGCTGCTGGGCCTCCCGAATCCGAGCCTGTACATCTATCGGCTCCCGCACCGCAGCAAAAGACTCGATAGGGAGCACTGTCCTGGGCAGAAGCTTGTCTTCTGCTCGGGAATATTCGGGCTTCCTAGACAGAGCATCCGCTCTTTGATTGTGACTGCTGGGTACGTACGTCACCTGGAAATTGAACCTCGCAAAGAAGAGAGACCACCGGATCTGGCGTTGGTTCAATTTCCGAGCGGTCTGCAGGCTTTCCAAATTCTTATGGTCCGTCCGGACCTCGATTTGATGACGCGCCCCTTCCAGATGATGCCTCCAGGCCTCGAACGCCACTTTAATGGCCAGTAGCTCCTTCTCCCAGATGGTATAGTTGCGCTCCGCCGGATTCAATTTCCGTGAATAGTACACGCAAGGGAAGAGGGCACCGCTGGGTGTCATCGCCTGGAGTAACACCGCCCCAATGGCAATGTCGGAGGCATCCGCCTCCACGACAAACGGCCGTTGCGGGTCAGGATGCTTCAGGATGGGCTCCTTCATGAAGGCTTCCTTCAAAGCCTGGAAAGCCCATTGTTCTGGAGCGTCCCACTGGAACCGAGTCTTTTTCTGCAGGAGCCGAGTAAGGGGGGCTGTCATGGTAGCAAACCCGGGGATGAAAGTCCGATAATAGTTGGCGAACCCAAGAAGTCGCTGGACATTCTTCACACGATGTGGGGGTTGCCAACTCTGCAGAGACTCGACCTTACTCGGCTCCATGGCGATGCCCTCGGGAGAAATGCGGTGACCCAGGAACTCGATAGTCGTCTGGTAGAACTGGCACTTCTCTAGTTTGGCATATAGCCGATGTTCTCGGAGCCGCTGCAGGACCTGACAAAGATGCTGATGGTGCACCTCTCACGATGGGGAGTAGATCAGGATGTCGTCCAAGTAGATCACGACAAACTGATCTAACAAGTCCCGGAAGATGTCGTTCATAAAGTGCTGGAACACGGCAGGGGTGTTGGTCAGGCCGAATGGCATCACCGTGTACTCGAAGTGCCCGTACCGAGTACCAAACGCCATCTTCCACTCATCACCCGACTGAACTCTGACAACGTTATAAGCTCCACGCAAGTCCAGTTTTGTGAAGATCTTTGCCTCATGGAGCCGGTCCAAGAGTTCGGGGATGAGGGGCAGCGGATATCGGTTGCACACCGTGATGGCATTTAATTTCCTATAATCACAGCAAAGCCACAATTCGCCGGACTTCTTCTTGACAAAGAGCACAGGTGCAGACACTGGCGAGGACGAGGGCCGAATAAAACCACGAGCCAAATTCTTGTCCAAAAAGTCCCACAACGCGGCCAACTCGGGGTCCGACATGGAATACAAACGCCCCACTGGGAGAGGCGCATCAGGGACTAAGTCAATGGGGCAGTCATAGGGCCTGTGCGGGGGCAATTGATCCACCTCAGTCTTGCTGAAAACTTCAGCATAATCTGCCAATTCAGAGGGTAAGGAGACCCCCATGGGCCCCTCTACCTGACCGGCACAGATGTGGCGGGTGTGATCCACGCACTGTAAACTTGGAAAGGTGACCAAGTTCTGTGACCAATAAATCTGTGGGTCATGCGCCCGGAGCCACGCCAGTCCCAAGACCACGGGGAAATGCAGGTCTGATGTGATATAAAACTGGATGGCCTCCTCATGTGAACTGATGGCCATACATAGCGGTTGCGTGGCGGCCTTAATTGGCCCAGACAGGAGCACTCGACCATCAATGGTCTCCACTAACATTGGCGGATCCACCGGGCATTGGGGAATCGCCCATTTAGCCACAAATGCTGCATCCATAAAGTTCGCCGTGGCCCCAGAGTCAATCAAGGCATGGACGGGAATCCCCTTGGGCAACCTAGGGAGAATCAGGTGCACCTCCGAAATCAAATGCCTTGGGGGTCCGTGGGCAGCATCTGAAGGGTGTGGCTCGGTGTTGCGGGATGCCCAACCCAAAAGGCCTTTCAGGTCGGGCGTGTGCCGTTTCCCAACAGGGGAGCAGATGGCAGTCTCGGAACAGGCTCAGTCACAGACGCCCCTTGTCGCTTCTTGGGGCAGAAAGCGGCCAAATGCCCAGGGTCCCCACAGT